ATAAGGTCGGAAAAGGTTATCCTGGACCTCATCCCAAGTCCATAGAAATAGCCTCTCCCTAAATGTTCGTAGAATAGTCTCCCATATGAATTGGGACTCAATGGAATGGAGGATATACATTACATAATCCAATGGTCGTGGAAAAACCACGTCAATAAGTATAACGACTTTTTTTAATTTGAAATAATGATAACTTCAGATGCCTATTTTACGGTCATTGGATATGTTATAGAGAGGATCACAATTTGGACTCAACAATCAACACCTCTTTATTTGGTAATGAAGTCTCATCTACCCAAGCAACCTTAAATGACTCTGTATCTGGCTCAGACTGCATCTTTAGTGTAGCAATAGCTTATTTAGTGACCACATTCATGGTACTCCCATCATCAATGATGATCTCAAACTTCATCCCAACATTTTACAAATGTATGGAAAATGCCAGCATGCTTCTACACATCATCCTTGTAAGAGTGGATAGTGTCAATATACTATGAAACACGGATACTCCAAAAAAAGGTGACGAGTATTAGATATGTATCGGATACGACAAATAAGTATCCGATTTTTTTATTTATTTTATTTTTTTAAATCTTGGATACGGGAGGGATACGCAAAGGATACTTGAGGGTTACGGTAGAATACGTGAGGATACGTGAGGGATACACTAAATAAGTACCCAATTTTTGTTTTCCTATTTTTTTATTTTTATTTTATATTTTAATACACCAAATAAGTATATGATTTTTTTTCAATTTTTTTATTATTTTATATTTATATTTTTTCAATGGTCAATATTCTCTACTCTTGTATTTTTTTTTCCTTTCTTTTTCCCTTATCTATTAGGCTACTTTATTTAATTTTTTCCCCAATTTTTTTTTTTTTTTTGGGGGTTTTCCTACACTGTTTTAGGCCTTGCTTGGCAAAGGTTTTTTTTTTTTTTTGCTTTTTGGGCTAAAATTCACAAAAAGACAAAATAGGTTAAAATAGCTAATAAGACAAAATGTCACATCAAACCATAATCATTTCATTTTTTCTTTCCCAAACATCATATCCAACTACAAAAAAATCCAACCATTTTCCCAAACACAAATCTTTTAGCATAGGAAATAGCCAACAACTAAAATAGCCAACTTCCCAAACGAAGCCTTAATGTAAGTGTTTCTTTACCAAATTTTTAATTTTAGAAACTTTAATTTTAATATTTCTTTATTTAATAGGAATTTCTCTTTATTTATTAATTTGCTTTAAGTTTTATTTTCATGCATATTACATTATTAAAATTACAAAAAAAAATATTTTTTTTACAAGCGTATCTTACTTTTTTAGATTTTGGCGTATCGCAGTATCTATATTAAATCATGTTTGCACCATTCCATTTCCGTTCTCATTTTAAGTATTGATCTCTCTTTTAATATTTGCTTTTTTCCAATTAATTGGTGTCAGCTACATGAATCTTTTCTAACACTTCATTATGTCAAGTACTAAAGGGTCTATGTCATGGTTTGTATGCACCCTGACAATAAGTTTACAGCCACAGAACCAACCATACAAAACAAGGTGAGGCTCTAGAGCAATATCAGTGAAACTGTTTCTTTTATGACGAGCACCAACATCTGATATGTATGGCTAGGAATGCTTAATTCGAGCTACTATGCCATTTTCGTATCATTCATAAGTGTGAACCTATAATGCATATTTGTTGAATTACCTTCATATATGAATATTAGTATTACATTCAATGTTGAGGATTTGTTTTCTTACCAAGACACTTTTGAGCCTACCAATTTGCCAACATGTTTGTCTGCAGGTGTCATTCCTTTTACTTTAGTTCTAGCACCTATCCCTCATCTTCTACCACTTCCACCACCCCATGACGATTAGATCACGAATATTTTTGAGAGTTTGGATAAGTTTTGCTCATCCAACTATATCTTGTGAGATGGAAGAAAAAATTTCCCATCTGCTTAGATGGAGAGAATTGATAGGAATCAATGAGAACGCCTTCACACATATTTTAGGTGGAGGTGTCAACCAAGAATTGAGACTATTTAGAAATTTGAGTATGTTTAGTGGCTTTTGATGAATAAGGTTTAGGGTGATTCTATTTATACACCACTAATACTCTCAGTACACACCATTAATAGATTAAATTTATATTCCAATAATATCCTCCAATGAAATGACCATTAAAGACAACATGAGATGTATTCAACCTATTCAAAAATTTCATATTTAAAAACACAAATTACTATTCACACATCATCATTACTATAGGGTTTAGGGTTTTAACATATAAACATTGTATTTCTTTATCATTTTCACCATTAATATACACTTATGATATCATTCATTATCAATTATCTCACTTTATTTTCTTCTCCATTATACTTATTTTTCAAACTTAAAACATTATTGCCATTGAAGATTTAAGGTTTAAGAACATTGAAATCAATTAGTTTTGAAGATTTGCACACCATGGATGACAATGAGATGGTTGGTTCCGATATAAACATTGAAAACGTTGATTTGAACATTGAAAATGTTAGTTTATGACTTAATTTTTTTGGTTTTTTATTTATTTAGTTCGTATGTTGGGAAGATGAGTTTGTTCGTCATGCTTGGATAATCAGAATTAAACTTTTACACAATATTTGATTATTTATATTTGAACAAAATAATTTTGTTCAAATTATTAAGATTGACCAAATATTAAATGTTCATATATAAAAAATTGAACATTTTAAGTTAGTTTGGTTAAAATAAATTAAACTTTCATTCATTGTTCAGATATAAATTTTTGAACACATTAAGTTTGTTCAACTCTGTATTTATGAACATGACTAATTTGATAAATTTCAAACGACGATGAGAGATGAGAGTTCAAGGCTGACAATGAAGATCAACACCGGCGGCAATGGAGGCCAAATGAAACACTCTGCTGCTGGTGATCTGAAACGGCGAGACGACGAGATGAGACACAATGAGAGTTCAACACCAACTATGGAGATCAACACGGGCGAAGTGGAGGCCAAATGAAACCTCTGCCGACGATGGAGATCAAGATCAACGAAGATGGTCTCTGTTGGTCTCTATTCTGAAGATTGTGGGGTTTTTGTTGTGTAGTGATGAAGATGAAGAGTTTTGGTGGGTGTAATGGTGTGTATTCAAATATTTAGTGGTGTATTAATATAGGGTTAGTAATGGAAAGTATCGGTGTGAACTAAGATATTTTTAAACCCTAAAAATTATTTTGTGTGCACTAAGTAATGGTATGTACTGAGAGTATTAGCGGTGTGTAAATAGAATCACCCTAGGGTTTATTTAACACCTAAATGACCATTATGCCACCAACCATAACAAACAAAACTAGTAATCTAGAAAGAGAAAAAAATACTCTACTTAAATTTCTACAGCTGCTAATCAAGTCTCTCCAAAAACACACTTCATGGGTAAAACAACTCACAAAACAATGTGATTGTCAAAAGATCCCTCAAATTAAAGAACCATACATACTACATGGCATTTTTATTGTATCCTATGGAAATAAAAAGATGTGGATGCTTGGACAAGGTTAAAGATACAAGAAAACAAGCACAGTCAACAACAATTAGGGGTGTTCACGGGTTGAGTCAGATCGGTTTTCCGGCTTACCCGCCAACTGATTCGATCACTTCGGGTTGAACGCCTTAACATCCGATTATGACCGATGTAATGATCGAAACGGTCCGTTCCTTTCAATCGGTTTACCGGTCGGATGGGAAAATAACAAAAGAAGCAAAGGGAGAGGGATGACAGAAAGAGATGAAGAGGAAGAGATCACTGTCAGGAGGAAAAAAAAAAAAAGAATAAATAAAATTGACACACCATGAAGCTGCAATTCATCAATGGATTCTTTCAAATAAAAAAGTCATGCCAACCAAAAAAAAAAAAAATGAAGCAAGATGAATTTTGGAAGAAAAAATAACTTCAAATCTTCAACACCATGGTTACTTTCAGATCTAAAACTCAAAAATGTAGTCGTTGTACAGCTTTGAGAGAGGAGAGATGCGAGAGACAACATCGCAGATCGTAGTGAAGTCTGATAGCATAGCAGTAGTGAAGAGTTTCCCTTTGCCATAGCCATGGCTTCTTTGAAACTATGAAGACAATGAATGTTTAAAAGTGTGTTGTCGTTTGGATTTTTGAGTTAGGAACTTCAAAGATTGAGAGAATGAGATTGATATTTTAAAGCTGTGAAGTTGTTCAATTTTTTGAAATAAGAACTTTAAAGATTGAGAGAGAGAGAGAGAGAGAGAGAGAGAGAGAGAGAGATTTAGGTATAGAGATAGAGATGAGAGGAAAAGATATCTGAAAAGTTTCTTTTATGCTGTGTTTGGTTGAGAGATTTGGGGAGGGATTTGGAAAGAGAAATGGAAAAGATTGGTGAAATGTGAATAAAACATGCCTATATTTCACCTAGTTACACACACCTTTTCCCTTTCCTTTTCCAAATCCCTCCTCAAATCCCCCAACCAAACACAGCATTAGGGTTACCCTATTTCCAAGGCAAGGTTTCTGGATTGACACAGAGAAAAATATTTGAAAAGATTCTATTAGTTTCTAGAAATAATCTCCCTTTCGAAGGTATTGAGAATGAAAAAAAATAATTTTAAAAGTTTTTCAGAAATAAACTTTCTTCCCAAGGTAAAGAGATAGGAATATATAATTGTTTAACTATAACTATTTCTTGGGATCATACATGGCTGAGGCAAAGTGTTCTATGTATTTCTCGGTCGGGTGGGGTTCACTTGGTTTTTGGACTCTTGATCCGATGCCAACCGCCAACCAGTGGAAAAACTGTTCTTGCAAACGTGGCTGAACGAATTTGTTTTCGGAATCGGGTCGGGCCGGGCCGGGTTGGACTATTTTTTCCCAGCACCCCTAACAACGATCGAGATTTAAAGCAACAAATCATGATAGCAACAAGGGAAAATAAAGATATGATCATGGATCAGAACCTTTGCTTTCTTTCTCTTGAACTGAACTTTATCCTTCACTTCTTTTCCCTTTCTTCCACTGTTTGCGTTCATCACTGCCAGGGTCCCTAAATCACCTTCACTTCCATTCACACCAGATGACTCCCTTGCTTCCTCCATGGCCAACATGTTCTTTTTCTTCATTCTTAACATTTTATATTCAAACTCAGTCATATGTGAACGTTCTTCTTCTGTAGATTTGGCAAACTGGTGTTGAAATGCAGATGGAGGCTCAAGCATTAAGGCATTTCGCAGACCAAATATCACAGGCACACCTGGTACCTTCAGCCAAACAAATAAATAAACAATTATCAAAATCACAACCATAACTGTCCATGAGAGCATTTGTATGTGTGCACTCGCATAGGAGTATTGAGTGTCCATGTGCAACGTGGTAATGCACAAAACAGAGAAAATAGATTTAACAGGTGAATATAAAAGAAGGCATCCATAGTTGCACTGATAAGTTCATTTTCAAACAAACAGCCAAGTCTAGTTCTGGATACTCAAGTAGCATTAGCATCCAAATAAGAAGTTCCAGTAATATATATATATATATTAAGTTTTCAACAATTTTAGGTTTATAATTTGCATACACACCACACTGCATTCTCAAAATGCCCAGTGGTCAAGAAAGAGCATGCCCACATAGATTACCTACTTATTCTGAAGTGATGCTGTAAAGGGCGAAGAGGGAAAAAATTATTTGTGAATCATTTTCCTTTTTTTGTAGGAAACACAAACTGCTTAACATGTAAAGGTTGTAATGCTATCCCTAGAGAGTGTTTAACATCACAGCATAGGCTAATAATACTAGATATCTATGCTAAAAGGAAAAATCAAATAAAAACAAAAATATTAGAAACCTACTAACTAGATGGTGGATTCTAAAAGCTAAAAAATTATGAATGCTTTAAGCATAAAATGTTTACAAGAATATTGAAATAAGTTCTAGGAGAGTTGAAAGGAAAATGTCGTTTATCTAAAGAACATTAGTATAAAATGTTTTTAAGAAGCAATGTGAAGTTTGATAAATGAAACTAATAGTTGAGCTCAAAAAATGAAACTAAAAGTATGTGGAATACAATAAAATGCATTAAAAGAATATCGAAAGAAGTTCATGGAGGTCAAAAGGAAAATGCCATATATCTAAAGAACATTAGTGGTGGTGAGACAAGATACAAGAAGTAAGGACAATATATATATTTTAAACAGTGGCAAAAAGATTTAAGAAAATAATAATAATAACTGAGATGCAAATGGGCTAAGAAAAAGGTTAAAAGTATAGTTAGATTAGAGATGCAGAATTAAAAGTCTACAACAATGCTCATACTAATTAGATAATAAAAATGAAGAAAATAGTATTTACAAGAATCCCAATGGTTCCAAAGTAATCTTTTTGAGTATTTCATTTACAAGTTTTCCAATCTCTGATAAAAAGAATTGAAAAACAAAAAAAATGACAACATAAATATCCAACTCAAAGGAACCAAGTAATTTTATGCTATTTGAAATCACATAGACAGGCTGTATAATAAGAATAGGGACAAATTATTGTAGCTGAACATGCGAGTAGATCGGTTAAAGACAGAACTTCCTTTGATTAAGAAGAAAAACCTCACATACCATAGAAAACAATATCATTGTGCAGAACCATACAATCATGACCACAATAAGTGAAATCTAACATAAGAAATACGCAAACCTCCTGGAGGTTCTTCCGCAAATCAGCATCCTGAGTAGCAACAAAGAAGTGTTCGGGATTGTCTTCTCCAATAATTTCCACAATGCAAGCCACAGCACTCTTCCTCTTCTCATGGTCACATCTAAAAATGGCTCAAAAACATACTCCCAGAGCTTAGAATAACAATATCATGTCTTTAGAAAGATTAAACTACAGTAAGCATGAAGCATATATTGATATAGTCATGTACTTTGCAAATAGTAGCGTCAGTGGGCTGCCATCATTATTTTTTTTTCCAAAACTTGATGCTAGTATACATGGAGGGAGAGAGAGAGCACTGACCTTGCAGTAAAGAGGTTACGAGCTGCCTTAAGAGATTCAGAATAGGATTCACCAAGGCTTTTTAATTCCGCAAGAACACATCTACAAGCAAAAAGGAAATAATAAAGAATTCATGGGTAAGGAAACATTTAATTCATAAACCGAAAGAGAATTACACCATTATATCATCGTCATCTAGTATAATAACAAAAAAAAGGGGCAGAAAAGCCTGCTGACCTGGTAGTAAATATTTTTACGGTGGCACCAAGGATATTTGAGAGTGCAGTATTGGCTGGTGTAATAGAATTGACATGAAGGTGATGTACAAAAGTTCCATCACAAAGAACCTTGAATGGCTCTCGGAAGCCAAAGCAAGCTGTGTAGAACCTCACAACCTTACGATGGCGTTTCTGTTTTTTCAATCTCATCTATCAAAATAAATAAATAAATGAAGACTAAATCGAGGATTTATACATTATTTTGGATAAAATAAGTTAAGGAGAATCAAACTTGAGTCTCTTTATTTGGGGAATACTGACTGAGCTGTTGGAGCTGTTGGGGTGTCCCCTAGGGGACTACTCAAGGATATTCCACATTATATAGCAAATTATCAATACAAACACAATTTTTTTTATAACGAGCATCATCGAATACCATTTGAGATAGGAACTGATAAAGACATTACTAGTAATGTCAAGAGAGAGGGCTTGGGAGTGGGAGACAGTAAGCTGTATAGAAAGTTAAATAATTAGCATTATTTAGCATAAACAGTTAAATGTGGCAGCTAAGAAGCACGAACACTTGTACCAAGGAAGCATGTTGTGCCAACACTCTTTGGACACTCCTAAAAGTGTGTCCGACACTTTTTCGATGTGTCTTAATAAAAAAATCAAATCTATAACATTGGGCACTTCACATACATTTCAACAACACCTCTTGAACTCTCTGAACAAATCTTGTGTCACATAACAATGTTTTTTATTCTTCAAAACACAACTTATACATTCTAAATATGTTTAAAACATTTATAAGATGAACATCATGTATTACAATGTTCCATACGTATTTTATAATCTTTAATGTAATTGTTATGTGAATAATATCTTAATATTCAAGTTATGAAATATATAACTTTTTGATGTAATTAGTGTCATATTACATATTTTTCATTATCTTTGAATAAATTATTCATATATATATTTATATAATAAAGCAGGATGATTTTTGAATTTGTCCTATACACATTTGTCCTACTAGGACATTTAGACGTCTCAGATCTCTTCAAATTACAAAACAATGGCTGTGATGTATCCTACTTTCGCGCTTCTCTCTCTTACTTTTTCCTTTTCTCACCCACCCTCCCATTGATCCCATGAATAATCCTATGAATGATCCCATGATCCCACCTTCCTCCTTCTCTTCTTATTTTTTTATTTTCCTCCCTATTTATTTATATAATAAAGCAGGATGGTTTTTGAATTTGGCCTACACACATTTGTCCTACTAGGACATTTGGACGGCTCAGATCTGTTCAAATTACAAAACAACAACTGTGATATATACTACTTTCTCACTTCTCTCTCTTACTTTTTCATTTTCTCACCCACCCTCTCATGATCCCATGAATAATCCTGTGAATGATCCCACGATCCCACCTTCCTCCTTTTCTTTTTCTTTTTTTTTATTTTCCTCCCTTTTTTATTTTCCTCCTTATTTATTTATTTATTTATTTATTTTCTCCTTTTTGTTCACTTATTTTTATTTACACCGTGCCTTCAGGCACAGGCACTGGTATACACTAGTGTATATATATATATTACATATAATAAATTTATAAAAATATGAAATTTTAGCATATCCCAAGCATATTGCGTCTTACATTTTTTGAAATCAATGTGTTAGGTTAGGTCGTGTGTCCGCGTCCGTGTCCGTGTCCGTGTCCGTGCTACTTAGTGCGGCATCTATAAAGGTCATCAATCACTATCACTTTGTTTTCATCACAACAACTGAAACATTTAGATTTCCTAAAAGAAATTATTTATTTATTTATTGGCAACCAAAAGATTTCACATTTCCTAAAAGACTGAAACAAAACATGAATGAAATTACTAAATTCTATCTTTTCTAGCTACTCTGATCGAGATCTTTGGGGATGATTTTGTAAAACTACAATTCAGTGGAGAAACTTTAGGACACCCTTGAGGAAATGGATCATGTGTCAACTTGTAACTAATGAAACACACCTCAAAACATAGAGAAATGCACCAAAACATACCGAAACAAAAAACTATGTCAATATAAATTTAGAATCTCGCATAATTATTGCTTTTGTTATTTTAACTTTTGAGATATAGAGCAAAGGTGAATAAAAAAAATAAAAAATAAAAAACTTTATATTGTAGTTGTTATTATCACCACCACAATAATGACATCACCAATACCACCACCATCAACATCTTCATCTTGGTCAATTTCCATATCTTATTTTGTTGGCATCTTGGCCACCTTTAGAATCATAAACACTAAGTTTCACCTCAACATCTACTTTTTGAAGTCTGGTCTATTATAGTGCTCTCATTCTCTTTGTACAAACTTCACAGGAGAGCTCAATTTCTATGGAGCTTTTGTAACTTATACTTCCCCTCTTTTCAACATTTTCAACATATTTTTCTTTGTACTTGAAATAAAAATATACAACATAACACAAACTAAATTTGGAAAAATCATATAAAAATTGTATTCCACTCCATCTTCAAAGACTCTACCATGATTAAATAAAGTTGTAAATCATATATAAAATATATATATATATTTATTCAATCAATACATCACAAGAAATCACAATAGCATAAGCATAAGAACACATTTTTCGTCTAAACAGATGTTGCAGGTTACCGTGGTCTAGAACATAAGAATAAAAATTCAATAGTTCACCGGAAAAAATTTTAAAAAAGAAAAACAAAAAACCATATCTTTATACATTCAACTAAGCTGGTTACCCACAATAAATTGTACAAATATGTGTGTATTTCATGTTTAATATATGTAGGGTTAATAGTGAGTACGAAGCGAGGGAGGGAGGGACTGACCTCAAAATATGAGGGTTAAAGAGCAATGGCAGGGCTTTAGCAAACATATAGCGAACTTCTTTTCACAGAAAAAGTAAGAAGGAGAAAGTTACAATGGGCTGAGCAGGAGAAGAAGCAAGAAGAGAAAGAAAGAGAAGCAAAAAAAAGTCATGACTCGGCTTTAGTGAACAGATTGGGAGCTTCTGTCGATGACAAAGAGAGACTGAATAAGGAAGTTAGGGCTTTGTTTGATTTGGTGGATTATAGCATAGGATTGGGATTATTAATTTATGGGATTCACGTTCCATTGTTTGGTTGCAAATTTTATTATTCAAATTAGATTCCAATGGCCTTTCAATCCAACAAAATTGATCGATTTTTTAATCATACGACTAATAACGCAAAACATACATACAATTGTAATTATATATTTTCATATCTATTGAAAAACAAACGTAGACAAGAAGGAATTATGTATCTCACTAATCTAACTGGATAACCAATCCTACACTAATCTCATGAATTGTTAATCCCCTCACTATTAATCCTGCTAATCATTCAAGCCCTCACAATGGGAGTGGAATCCATTTAGCTAACGGAGATTCGACCGACTCACGTCCTCCTCTTCTCTGACTCTCTCTCTCTCTCTCTCAAACTAGCAGTTAACCATGCGATCACCAAAGTGAACTAGGTAATAAACAACTAATTATTTTGAAATATATACATACCCATCAATCTAATTTTTTCCAATTTTTTTGAGCCAATATGGTAATAAACACATACATACAACTCACCAAATTGAACTATACATGTTAGGGCAAAATATATCTATAAAATTGGGGTTAGAACATCTTAGCATAATAGGTCACATTTGGTCAAACCTAAGAAACACAGACATGGATACAGATGTGGACACGGACACGAACACGGTGGGGACACATTAATAAAATATGTTTTCATATATTTTTATTTGCTATATAGATTAATATTATATCCACAAACAATCAATATTAACAAAAATAACTCTAATTTTATATTTTTTTAAAAAAACATTGTTAAATTAATACTTACAGTTTATATCTTTTTTATGGATGATCTATTAAGTATTTAAATCTAAAAAAAAATAATAATAAACATTCAACATTTATCAAAAGCATCAAAGAAAATGAGGAAAAAGACTATTTGACATTTCCTTAGTGTATCTCCGAAGTGTCCCCTAAAAATAAATTAATTAAATAACCCGCCATGTCCCCATGTCCCCGAAGTATCCGTGTGTCTGATACGGATACGACACTTGTTTTGAAGTGTTAGTGCTTCATAGGATCAAAGTTATATCAATGTTATTAATCTTGCACACATTTAACTAAACAACACCACAATTATCTCTCAATCCATCATCAAAATATCATTAACAAATGAGTGCACCCAACTCAGAATTAAAATATCTATTACATCAACCAAGTTCATTATCAATTTTTTTGTTATCCAAATATCCTATAAGTCGTACGCCTCAAATTATCCTAGTCTTTCATAGACCAAGTTCAAACAACGGATTGTAATTACTACCGATTCCAAAATCGACAATAACATAATTATGCCAACATCATGAGTTCTCTAACAATAACCATATTTCCCCCCCCCCCCCCCCCCCTCCCATGCTCTACATGATTTGTTTAACACTATATGTTATCCTCCTAGGAAATTACTCGGCCAACAAGGGAAACAGAGGAGAAGGTCTCTCGATACAAAATTAACAACATCATTCTCCAATGAGGAATTGCCATCATGTCCTACCTAGTAGATCCCACTCACCAGATAAAATAAGACAACAATCGCATCACTAAATACAAATCCTGTACATCTACATTTGAACAATGAACTAGATTCTACCAGTCTTCTACTTATCAAACATCAAAATTTCACTGACAAGCAAGCTCCCAAATCAATGGTATACCGGGAAATTACTTGAAAATCAAATCCCGCTTCCCTAGTATCAACATGCCTATATAATGTACCGTGCAAACACGTAATATATATGATCATAGTTTCAAAATCAAATATAACTTAACCATAAACCCTAATCACCTGCAAGTGTCAATTCATGGGAAAACTGAGAACAGAAGAACAAAAAAACAGAGCAATTGTCAATTCATGGGAAGCAAATCAGCGACATATGTACAAAGATTGAGAAAATTGTGAATCAAAAGAAAGGAATCGTTACAAACAAGATCTAAACTCTACATTTTCATACACATTAACAGAGAAAGGGGAACAAAATATCACTAACATCTCAGAATTTATTACACTCCAGTGTATATATATACAGACAGAGAGAGAGAGGGGATACCTGAGAGAGCTACCGTGGTGGTTCTGGTTGACGGCGGTGGCGGATCTGCCCACTAAAGTGGATGACGACGGCTGTGACGGTGGGGTATATATATACGGTAGAGGCGGATGGCGGCGGATTGACTGGCAGGGGTGGACGAAGACGGGTGTAACGGCGGTGTCTGGAAGACGTCAGTGAGGAGGAAGAACTCCGAGAGAATAAGAATCATGATATATATCATAACTAGCGTATGCCGTGGCTGAAGTCGGGTAAATAATGGTGGTAGATAAGTGGAAAAGTTAGGTGTTGTTACGTTTTTTTTATATTTATAAAATTTTAGAAAATTTAAATAAAAGTTTGTTTAGTAAAATTTTTAATTTATAAATTAGTGGTCTCACTTTATAAATTTAGCCAAAAAATAAAAATATAAAAAATGTGTTTCCATTTTGAGTTTTCAGTTTTTTTTTGGTAATGATACATCCCACTAAAAGTGGTACTCTAAAGCATCACTAATGAGTTGGCAAACACTTTAACTAAAAAAAAACAAGACACAAACAGTGGGTCCCGTCCACTGCCACATTACTAGTGGTGCTTTTAGAGCACCACTTTTAGTGGTCTCAAGCATTATTGTTTTTTTTTTTTACCACCCAACACTAGCCACCACCCGCCACCATTTTTCACCACCGTCTTCCGCCACCACCACCCACCCCCCCACCACTTGCCACCACCACCCACCTCTCGCCACCACCACCACCACCGCTACCCACCACCCACCGTCACAACTTTCCACCACCGTCTTCCGCCGCCACTTGCCACCACTTGGCATTTCTCACCCTTTTTTATATTTTAAAAATTTTTGAAACATTTTGTCAATTACAAAACGCGTTTGTAGTTTATGTTTTTTCTAAAAATAAACAAAAAATAAACAAAAATCAGTTTATAAATTTTTTGTAAATATAAACTAAAAACGTAAACGTTACCAAACAGACCCTTATGGATAAAGTTTTAAATTTCAAAATTCCTCCAAATAAACATATAAAAACTGAAAATTAATTTTATAATCTGCAAATAAATATAAAAATTAAACAATTAATTTCATAACTTATAGATAATTTAAAATTTCTTCCCATAAATAAACATATAATAGTTGATGAATAACTTATAAAAATAAATTTCATGGCCTACAAATAAAGATAAAGATTAAATATTAAGCAATTAATTTCATAACTTATAGATAATTTAAAATTTCTTCCCATAAATAAACATATAATAGTTGATGAATAACTTATAAAAATAAATTTCATGGCCTACAAATAAAGATAAAGATTAAATATTAAGCAATTAATTTCATAACTTATAAATAATCTGCCCCCCCCCTGCCCCCACCCCCCACCCCCCGCCACCACCACCACCACCACCACCCACCACCGTTATCCACCTACCCACTCACCACCACCACCCACATCCACCCGCCACCACCTACTACCACCAGCTACCCACGACCCACTGTCACCACTTTCCACCACTATCTTCCGCCGCCACTTGCCATTTCTCACTCTTTTTTATATTTTTAAATTTTTTAAAATATTTTGTCAATTACCAAACGCGTTTGTAGTTTATGTTTTTCTAAAAATAAACAAAAAGTAAACAAAAACCAGTTTATAAAATTTTTGTAAATATAAATTGAAAACGTAAACGTTACCAAACACACCCTTATATTTTTATACCGTTTAATTTATAATTGTGAATATAAATTGATTTTTGACTTATAAATTAATTTTTTTTTTCTTTCATTCAAAGAATAAGATTTTTGACTTATAAAAAATTATAAGTTGTATTGTTAAACTGAATCAAACATATCAAAATAGCTTAAATTAAGCTAAAAACTGAAATAAGCTGAAAATAAGTCTTATCAAACAGGGCCAATGTCGGGGTGGTAAATAATGTTAGGATTAAAATAGTAATCTTTAATACTTTTTAAATTTATTTTTTAATTTGATAAAATTATAAATTTAATATAAAATTTTGATTTTTTTTTTATATTTTCACCTACTTAATAAATTCAGGGAACACATTTAATGAAAAATTAACTTAATGACAATTATATGTTAATTAAAAATTACTATAATAGCCGTTGATCAGCACTCCTAATATTATATACATAAATTCTCTATACACATCTTTCAGGAATAAAAATATCTCAATATATACATTTTCAAACAAAAAAATTAAACCATAATTTTTCTATTGTGATCGCTTTGCTTCTTACACACTCTGTACTTCTCTCTGTTACTTGCAAACAAAACATCTCTCATATAACTCTAATCTTTAAGTTTATACTCGATTATTAACATCGTTTAATTATTAGTTCAACAATTTTTATTTGATTTTGATATGGAAGTTCAAACTCAAGCAATGGTGACAGCAAAATCAGTGATGAAAAGGTAAAATTGTGTAGTATTTTTTTTGTTTTATTGTGTTTTTTTAGTCGAAAATTCAGTGCCGAATTTTGTAAATTAATTCGGAAATCAACCACCGAAATAACATGAATATTTCGTTACAAAAGAACCGATTTTTTTTATATATTTTGAAACTTTAATTATGATTTTTTTTAATTTATTTCGGTTTTTAAGGGCCGAATAAAATTAATATTTTCGGACATAGAGTTCCGAAATATTTTGTAATTTTCGTTTTTTTAGGGTCGAATTTTTTTTATTTATTTCGGCTCTGTAGAACCGAATGATTTTTTTTCCCCCTTCTCTTTAGATGGCATGCACTGAAGAACCTGAGATTCAATCGGATATTATGGTGGATTGTACTAGTCATTTTACAACTAAATAGGTAACTTTTAACATAAAATTCATAAGTTCATAATTTGTATTAGTTAGTTTGTTTAGTTTGTTCTTATGAAAGTTGTGTGACATTATATATAGGTTTTCGACAACAAAGATGAATTGCTCACTTGGGTACGTGACATTGGAAAGGATAAATGGCTTTGTTATTATTATAAAGACGTCGGATTATGGTGGCGGTCGTAAGAGACCAAGAATTTATCTTGCTTGTGAGTGGAGTGGGAAGTATAGATTGCGTAAAAAGTTGAAAGATGGCTCAAAAGACTTATTGAGACAAAGTGGTATGAAGAAGTGCAAATGTCCATTTGATTTGAGGGCATTCAAGTTGAAAACAAATGATGAATGGACATTGAATGTAGTTTGCGGGCTGTATAATCATCCAGCTACGGAGCATCTCCAAGGACATTCATATGCACGGAGATTGTCAGCTAATGAAAAGTCGCTATTAGTAGATATGTTAAAGAGCCTAGTAAGACCAAAAGAGATACTCATTACACTCAAACAGAGGGATGCCCTTAATATGAGCACAATGAAGACAGTTTACAATGTACGACATCGATGTAGGATTCTACAGAAGGCTGGTAGATCCCAAATGCAACAACAGTTGGGTGAATTAGCGAAACATAAGTACATTGAGTGTCATCGATGTGAGGAAGGCTCTATGATTGTCACGGACTTGTTTTGGGCACATCTAGTGAGTTTGGATTTGCTTCGTACATTCCCTCGTATGTTGATTATGGATTGTACATATAAGACGAATAGATATCGGCTTCCTCTTCTTGAAATTGTGAAAGTGACATCAACTCACATGACATTCTTTGTAGCTATCGCATATTTGCAAACTGAGCGGGTTGATAATTATGCATGGGCGTTACAAACATTGTGCGATCTTATGGACGATAGTGTTTTACCTGAAGTCATTGTTAGAGATAAAGAGCTTGCTTTGATGAATGCCATTGACAACACCTTTCTGAATGCTCGACATTTGTTATGTCGTTGGCATATTAATAAGAATGTATTGACAAAATGCAAGAAAATGTTTGAGACAAAAGAAAAATGGGACGAGTTTAACTCTGCATGGAACTATTTGATATTGTCATCGACTGAAAAGGAACACAATGATCACCTTGCAACACTACATAAGGATTTCAGTAACTGTTCGAAGGCAATCAAGTATGTTACTGTGAGTTGGTTGAATCTGTATCAAGAAAAATTCATTGCGATACATACAGACATGTGTATGCATTTTGGCAATGTTACAACCAATCGGTAAGATTTATTTATTTTTTAATTTATTAAAAATCATATTGTTATTTTTAATTATTATGCTTGACTATTTTGGTTTACATCCATATGAACAGGGTTGAGAGTGCTCATGCTAAATTGAAGAGGCAATTAGGTTCAAGTCAAATGACATTTGAGATTTCATTTGAAAAAATACATTGTCTACTTGAGTTACAGCACATTCAAGTTAAAGCATCATTCGAGAAGAGTTTGACAACTGTGCAACATCAATTCAAACCTTCTCAATTTAGAGAGCTCCGGGGTAATGTGTCTATTTGTGCATTGGAGCACGTGTTGGCAGAGAGTAAGAGAACAAATTCGGTTGGAATTGATGTTGCAACATGTGGGTGTGTTCTTAGGCGCACACATGGTTTACCTTGTGCTCACGAGATTGCAGATTACATGAGACAAGGCCGTCCTATTCCACGCAGTAGCATACATGTACATTGGACGCGACTTACTATATGTGTGCATAATCCGAAGGAACAGAAGTTGGAATTGACTTGTATCCTAGAACTTGAGTTGATTTTGACGCGGTTCAAAGAGTCTGATATTGCTACGCAATTGGATATGTTGAAGAAGTTTAGGGAAATTGCAAATCTAGCAAGCACTTTTGTTATTGAGCCTGATGTGAAACCTAATCCACGTCGAGGACATAAGAAACTTGATATATCTTGTTGTCGTGACCCGTGTGCATTTGAGCTGGTTGACGATGGGCATGATAGCCAAAGCACATTAGCTTTCAGTTAGTCAAAGAAAAAGAGAGCTTCAAAAGTGCATAAGAAGAAGCGGAATGTGAAGACAAAGACATATCGTACAAGAACAAGTTTACCGAGTGCATATGTTGGTGACTTCCCGCCTATGTTAATACCATTCATAAAGTTGATGAAGGATATAGATGGTGATGAGAATTGTGAATTTAAAGCTATTGCAAGTTTACTTGGTCTTGGAGAGAATGATTGGGTGCAAGTTAGGCGTGATCTGCTAGTTGAATTGAATAATCACAGAGATAAATACGTCGTACCATACAAGTCGCATGAGTGGGTTGAGGAGCTGACACACATCCTTTCATATTTTGACAATAGCCCAGGCTTTGATCGTTGGATGACTATGCCTGACATGGGGCATCTTATTTCATCATTTTATAATGTAGTCTTGTACCACTAGTCATTGCAACAGTGTCTGACTTTCTTGCCTTTGAGATCACCGCCAGTAACCCTAGCTGATCGTCGCGAGATTGCCATTGGATTTGTCAATGGAAATCATTTTGTGCATGTATAAGTTATGAAAATAACCAAACATTGTTGTCTAATATTTGTGTAATTACAAATTTTATGTATTTGGTATAGATATATAATTTTTTGGATGTACGTGCAGGTATTTTTGGAAGCCGGTCATCCAGTTCCTCCCATTGCCACACTTTGGCGAGTTCACCATCTCCCTTGTGTATAAGAATAGGAGAATGCATATGTTAGCCGCATTCAAAAATTCAAAGACAACATAGGACCTAATGCAGCTACTCAAGAGACATTTGATGTAGTTGACATAGATTGATGTATTATAGAGTAGTAATGATAGCTTTAAGACATTAGTTTTTATGATTTACTAGCATGGAGTAACGAGGTAAATATCATTTTGCCATTGGATTTTGTAATGGTCAGTTTTTTTTTATAAAAAAAATAGAATATTATATGCATTGTAGTTCTCTAATTTATGGAATGGATGCCATATTATTTTTACATTGTCTGAACACAAAACATAATGAAAATAATATTAACCAAGTGCAATTGCTGTTAAAAAGTAATAAGATTAAACAAGTACGTAAAAAAAAAATATAAATTAAATAGTAGTTCAATCCATTCACACCATCACAAACTACATGTGTATTGTACATAATCTAAAAAATACATAATCCGAAGATAATAATAATATTTGTCTCCTTATACATCCACCAACACCAACATAAACTACTTGTGTTAACATTATGAACTATTACTAACTACGTGACCGGCGAGTGTAATATGCTCTAAAACGATGTGCAGTGAAAGAGCTAGGTGCAGACCGATCCTGAGTGGATGTGCTGGGCGCAGCTTCACTAATGTGCTGATCTTGAAGAAGTTGATTGCATCAATTGCGTAGTAAAGCCTATCAGGATGTTGAACACTGTCCTCATAGCCAGCCTCAACGAAAGGATGAGTAATTTGATATATCTGTGACATACGCTGCATTACGAGAACAAATATAACATTATGTACAAACTTGTAACAGTTTACATAAATTATTTGCAATGTAAATGAAAAAAAGGATACTTGTGTGTCTTGGCTAGGATACTGATAATGATTGATATTCGGGTCCACTTGAGAACGACGCGCTGGGTTTTGTACATATATATGGGTAATGGTTTGGTACTAATCCGTGTAACCAGGAACACAATCCCAAGGTTGTCATATCGGTGTACTCCTCATTCGATCAGATAACACATGGTTGTCCCGTGCCTCCAAAATGATGTCCAAGTATGCATACATAACATTGCAGCATAAAGCTGTGGCTTCTCGAGAAGCACACATAGGGCCAAGTGGTGGATCAGGGATTGTTTGCACTCTTCCAAATTGTCTCAAAACTCTATCAGGGTGATATGGTTTAACTACTTCCAAACACTTTAGGCAACCGTGGTAGAATGTAACTGGGTGACATGGATGGACATCTTTGCAACTCTGGTACGGATCCCAAATAACCTACAAACAATAACAACTGTAAGATATGACAACTGTAAATTTTATATGATACAGAGTTTCAAATTTTGAAGGACTTTTCAACTTACATCATGTACACCCAACCTATCAAGGTCCTCTCGAAAAGCCTGCATCATGTATACCAAACAGCATTTTCGAGACACTTTTGGGACGAGCTCGAAATTGTTTCAAATTTGGCAGTCCGTTCTTAAATGGCATTTTAGTGACACTTTTGGGACGAGCTAGGAAATGTCTCAAATTTGGAAGTCTGAGCGAAAACTGCATTTTGCAGACACTTTCGGGACAAGTTCGGAATTATCTCAAATTTTGAAGTCTGATTGGAAACGGCGTTTTCGCGACACTTTTGGGACGAGCTCGGAATTGTCCCAAATTTGGGAGTCTGATCGGAAATGGCATTTTAGCGAATTTTTTGGGACGTGATCAGAATTGTCACAAATCTAGCAGCCTGCTCGGAAATGATGTTTTGGCAACACTTTTGGGACGAACTCGAAATTGTCTCAAATTTGGCAATCTGATCAGAAAGGTTGTTTTGGTGACAATTTTGGAACGAGCTCGACACTTTTGGAATGAGCTCGGAATTGTCTCGAATTTTGCAGTATGAAAGGAAACGGCGTTTTTGAGACACATTTGGGATCAGCTCAGAATTGTCTCAAATTTGGCAGTCTGACCAAAAAAGGCATTATGGTTACACTTTTGGTAAGAGCTCGGAATTATCTCAAATTTCACAGTCTGATCGGAAACGAGGTTTTGGCGACACTTTTGGGAGACGAGCTTGAAATTGTCTCGAATTTGACAATCTAATCGGAAAGGACATTTTGCCAACAATTTTGGAACGTGGTTGGAATTGTCTCAAATTTTGTAGTCTGAGCCAAAATGGCATTTTTGTGACACTTTTGGGACCAACTCAAAATTGTCTCAAATTATGCAGTCTGATTGAAAACGGCATTTTGGTGACACTTTTGGGACGAACTTGGAATTGTCTCAAATTTGGGAATCTGATACGAAACTGCATTTTAGTGGCATTTTTGGGACGCGCTAGAAATTGTCTCAAATTTTGCAATCCAATTTGGAACGACATTTTAGTGAAATTTTTATGACGAGCTCAGAATTGTCTCAAATTTAAGAGTTTGATCCAAAGTGCCGTTATATCGACACTTTTGGTACGATCTCAAATTGGGTAGTCTAATCAGAAATGGCATTTTAGCGACGTTTTTCGGATGGGATCAAAATTGTCTGACATTTGGTAGACTGATCAGAAACAGCAATTTTGCGACCCGTTTGGGACGAGCTCAGAATTGTGTCAAATTTGACACTCTGATCAGAATCGGTGTTTTTGCAACACTTTTGGGACGAGCTTAGAATTTTCTCAAATTTGGCGGTCGGATTTGAAACCGCATTTTAGCAACATTGTTAGGACGAACTCAGAATTTTTACAAATGTGGTGGTTTGATCGAAAACGGTATTTTAGTGACACTTTTGGGATGAGATCGAAATTGTCCAAAATTTGGTGGTTTAATCACAAATGGCATTTTAGAGACACGTTTGGGATGAGCTCGAAATTGTCTCAAATTTGGCAATCTGATTGTAAATGGCATTTTGGCGACATTTTTGGGAGGTGCTCGGAATTGTCTCCACTTTGGCAGTCTGATATGAAATGGAATTTTAGCGACACTTTTGGGATGAGCTCGGAATTGTCTCAAATTTGGCAATCTGATTGAAAATGGTATTTTTTAGACATGTTTGGGACGAGCTCGAAATTGTCTAAAATACTTTGCCCAATCAAAAATGATGTTTAAGTGACACTTGTGGACGACCTCGAAATTGTCTCAAATTTGGTTGTTTGATCTAAAATGGCATTTTCACGACACTTCTGGGAGGAGATTGGAATTGTTTCAAATTTGGCAGTTTGATCGAAAATAGCACTTCAGCGACACTTTTGGGACGAGATCGAAATTGTCTCAAATTTGGCAGTCCAATCGGAAATGGCATTTTCGTGACACGCTTGGGAGGAGCTCAGAATTGTCTGAAATTTAGTGGTCTGATCAAAAACGTCATTTTGCTGACACTTTCGGGACGAGCTCTGAATTGTCTCAAATTTTGCAATCTTATCTGAAACGGCATTTTTGCGACACTTTTGGGACCAGCTCGAAGTTCTCTCAAATTTGGCATTCTAATCGAAAATGAAATTTTGGTGACACTTTGGGGCGAGTTCAGAATTGTCTGAAAATTAGCGATCTAATCAGAAACGTCGTTATGGTGACAGTTCTGTGAATAGTTTTGAATTGTCTCAAATATGGAAATTTGATCAGAAACATCGTTTTGGCAATACTTTTGGGACGAGCTCGGAATTGTCACTAATTTGGCAGTCTGATCTGAAACGGCATTTTGGCAACACTTTTGGGGACGAGCTCGAAATTGTCTCAAATTTGGCAGTGTGATCGGAAATAATGTTTTGGCAACACTTTCAGGAACAGCTTGAAATTTTCTCGAATTTGGTTGTCTGATATGAAATGGCATTTTCGCAACACTTCTGGTATGAGATTCGAATTGTCTCAAATATGGCCGTCTTATTGAAAACGACATTTTAGCGACACTTTTGGGACCAACTCGGAATTGTCACAAATTTAGTAGTTTGACAAAAATTGCCATTTTGGCAACACAATTCGGAAGAGCTCAGAATTGTCTCAAATCTGGCAGTTTGATAAAAAATGGCATTTTGGTGAAACATTTGGAACGAGCTCAGAATTGTCTCAAATTTGGCAGACTAATCGGAAACGGCATTTTAGCGACACTTTTGGGACAAGCCCAGAATTGTCTCAAATTCGGTAGTCTGAGGGGAAACGTTGTTTTCACAGCACTTTTGGGACGAGCTCGAAATTGTCTCAAATTTGGGAGTCTAATCGAAAATTGCATTTTTAGCGACACTTTCGGGACGAGCTGGGAATTGTTTTAAATTTGGCAGTCCATTCTGAAATGGCATTTTAGTGACACTTTTGA